CATGGGTAATTTAAGTAATTACATATTGTACTATAGAGTTATGTATATGTCCTGTTTGTAACCCTAGGTGAATCTCAGAGACTCACCTAGGGTTACAACATCTCTTTATTCTAAGAAACTCCAAATTCTGGTATTATGAGCCATACATAACACCAACCTATCCTATCGTATTGATCTCACGCACAGATAAGGTGACATGTATATAAAAATTGAAGTATAGGGGTTAGATATGTAAATAATAGGAATTGAGTGGTATTTATGTAAATCTTTGTATGTTTTTATGTAAGATAACGACATGATATATATGAAGCATGACAAAAATGTGTTAAACAAAAGTTTTCATATCTTCATAAATTTATAATTTGCATATAAAATTATAATGTAATTAAAATATTATTATATTACATTTAGTTTTAGGACAGTTGCTATATATTAAATAATCAAATATAAATATTTATGAGGATTGGTTTGGCCTGGTCCCATGAAGAACTTTTCACAGCTCTTTAGTACTCTTCTGTGGACATTACAGAATTCTTACAGCATATGTCAAATACTTATTTTATTAACAAATCTATCACCCTTTTACATTCATTTTTCAATTTGTCACTCAAATATCAAAATTCATGATAAAACTCGACCCTTTTTTTTCATTTTTATCAAATTTTATATGGTTTGATCGTGACATGCGTAAATGCATCGATTTGGTCGTACAAGAAAAAAGATGTGGGTGGTTAATTTGTAAACTTCAACGTTTCTGATGGTCTGTATGTATTTATCACATTATTATATATTTTTCAAATGAATTGAACTTGATTCAGCAATTAGAATCGTCTCGTTTTTTTAAACTTGGTATCGAACAGCTCCTAAATTTCGTTCCTAATTCTGCTGATTTAATCTTTTGCTAGAGAGACTATACATTATGAATACTAAAGCCCGTCTGGGGCGATGGGGGAAGTGCGGCGTGGAATAATCATTTAGTAATCGTGAAACTCACTGTTAACTGAAGCGTATATCTTATTGTTTTTATACTGTTTTGAAGTAGATTTTTGCTTCTCGAGTATCAAATATATTGGTACGACAGTTCCTTTGCAAACAACCTTACTACATCGTGACAGAATAGTCGTTTATTCATGAACAGCTGCAAAACAATTGTTTTCCAACATCACAAAGCAAACTAGATGAAAGAGGTGTGTTAGATTTTTTGCTTCTCGAGTATCATAAAAATGAAAAATATGGGATGGGGTTTATCATGAATTTTAATATTCAAGTAAGAATTTGCAAATTAGATGAAAGAGGTGTGTTAGATTTATAAATAGTAATGTTTCAAGTGGTATATACGCTATATGTGTTGCTAATTGATTAGCTTCAATTAAACTTATTACTCTTTCAAGGAACACAACGGCTATAAGATCTTCATATTCAAACTTTTGTATTAAATTTTCAAAATTTTTGCTTGCTAAAATAAAAATTATAATTAAATGAATGATTTGATTGAATAGCTACATTTTTTTATTATGATAAATTTTATAATAGAATTATATTGTTAGCTTTTTAATAGATTGTTGTATTTGATCAATTTTATTTTCTACTAATAATATAAACACACAAATTTATTTTAGTAGAATACGAGGCTTTTTTACACCAAAATGTTAATGTATCATTTCAATCTTCTACGGACCAGTAGCCCTACGCCTGTGCCTTCGGGTTTCCAGCCAATATACAAACTTAGATACACGTCCACACAACAGTTCGAATTAAGGATAACGACTAAGCCATATCTAAATTTATCTTACCTCTACATAGATGAGTTCCTTGTAAAGATTTAGCCTAATATGACTCTTACACCAATTTGCTGCAGGAATACCATAACAACATGATACTACAAAAATCTCGAGGAATTATTAAAACACAACTTTATTAATAAAACAGCTTACAAACTGTAGGGGAAGAGTTTCACCAAGCACCCTTATAACTTATTAAACCAAAAAACTAAACTTTCTAAACTTGCACATCAATTACATTATAATATTCCTTCATATAGACTTCATTCAAACCAACAAACTCCAAACTTCTTCAATTGAATACAATAAAAAACACAACAACAAGCATTTCCACTAAGTGAGGTCAGCTACATGAATCGTTTTTCTTCATTGCATCCTAATGAGTGTCATATTTTCATTTAATTCTAAAAAATTAAGATATTTTTTATATAATATGCCCAAATGGTTTTATGTCTACCTTTGTCTTTTTTAACATAAGTTGAATTTAAAACATCTACATCTACTCCTAACCAAATCATCTGATGGTCAATGTTTATTCATTTCACATTTTATCTCAAAGTGTCAAGCCACTCAGCCACCTAAGCATTCTCATGTCAACAACACTTAACTATGTTTTATGCTTCTCTTTTAAAGACCAACATTTTGTGCCATAGAGCATTACAAGACTCACCACCATCTTATAAAATTTTCCTTTTAGTTTAAGAAGTACTTTTCTATCACACAATAGGCCCGATGAATTCCTCCACTTCAACCAACCAACTTGAATTATACTTAATAATATCCCCATCTACCATCACATTGAGCAATAGACCTGAGATATTTAAAGCGTTCACATATTTTAATGATTTGAATACAATAACAAATAATATCACAAAAAAATAAAGTCACAGGTGTCGACAATAATAGATGGTGGGTGATGCTTTTGAGCTAGCTATTTACTTTAGATATGCTTATGATGCACATATATTCATTTCTGATTGTCTTTCTTGATAATGTTGGATAATGGTGGGAACCACATCTAACTTTTGTCGTCCGGATTGATATTTTCTCATATGTAGATTGCCTCAATTTTCAGGTACATCGGCATTAGCCATTGATATCTTGTCATCTTCATGCATGTGATCTTCAAATAATTCGAGAAGCTGGTTCTGTAATATTTCTTTAATTTTTTCAATAGGTTTATTTGAATTTTTTTTCTCAAATGCTGATATGAATTTCTAAACAAAAAATCTTCTTTAGCATTGATATTTCAGCAAGCTAGATTTATTAATTTGAACTACTTTATTAATGAAAAGAATTTTTCCTTCGATTATGATGACGATCCACCATTTCACTGCAAAGTTTCTATATAAACATTTATAATTTAAAAATTTATTTTGAATTTTAAGACTCTACGACCATATCCATAGAATTTGATATTAAATAAATAAGTATAAATAAGATTGACCATCTATTAAAATATATATTGAAATCTTTGAAATATAAGGAGAAGTTTTGACCTAATGAGAATGTGTAGTTTTAATTGATGGTGGTAGGATTTGAGTCATTGCTCCACAATTATGCCACGATTAATAAACCAAATGGAGAATGTCGTTAGAAAGAATTTCTAACATCATGACAAACGTTCATATATAATTAATCATAAAGAATGAGGGTTTATTCCACATGAGATTAAAACCATCGAATATAAAAAATACATAATTCCAATTTAAACAAACAATTTCCTTTAATTGTTGGACTTATACTGAAACCCAGCACAGTTTTTTCTTGTTATTAATCCTAGAAGAAAACATTCCTAGACGTTTGTAATGATGTTAGAAATCTAATCTAATGATATTTCTCATTGATTTTACCAATGGTATGATACTTATGGAGCAACAACTCAAATTCCACCATGATCAATCAAAACTATATATTCTCATTGGATCGAATATTATCCTTACATATCAATGATTCCAACAGATATTTTAATATATGATCAATCCAACTTGTATTCTTTACTTAATGTAAAATTCCATAGATTTGGTCAAATCTTGAAATCCAAAACTATTCTTTAGATCATAAATGTTTATATAGAAATTATGCATTAAAATGATGGAGAACCATCAGGATCGAAGAAAAAAATTCCTTTCATTAATAAAGTAATTCAAGTTAATAAATATAGCTTGTCGAAAAATCAAGCTAAAGAACTTTCATTTAAAAATTTGTCAACATTTGAAAAGAAGATTTCCAAATGAATCTACCGAAAAAATAAAAAAAAGATTACAAAATCAATTTGCCGAATTATTTAATGAAGAAAATGCATGAAAATGACAAGACATCCATGACTAATGATGATGTACCTGAAAATTGGGAGAATCTACAGATGACACTCACTCAGAAAAAGAATAACAATCCGACCGATAAAAATTAGTTGTGGCCCCCACCACAATCCAATATTATCAAGAAAGACAATGAAAAGGGACAATCTGTGAATAAAAAACACATCTAAAGTAAAAATTCAGCTCCAAAAAATCATCCACCATCTATTATTATTGACACCCGTGACTTTACTTTTTAGTAATCTTATATGTTATTGTATTCAATTGAAGAAGTTTGGAGGTCATTGGTTCGAATGAAGTCTATACAAAGAAATATAATAATATAACCGACGTGCGAGTTTAGAAGGTCTAGTTTTCTGGTGTAGTAAGTTATAAGTGTGCTTGGCGGAAACTCATCTCTTGCAGTCTGTAAGATCTTTTAATTAATAACACTGTGTTTTAATAATTCCTAGAAACATTTATAGTATTCTGTTGTTATATATATATATATATATATATATATATATGGGCTTATATACATGCCAGGTGATTAAATAAAGTAATAAATAAAATGGGAGATCATAAGAAATGAATTTACATGCAGCTTGTTAAAAATAGGGGATTTAAATGCAACTACCCAGAAATGGCATCTAGATTAAGGAGAAACAAGGAAGATTTCTTTGCCCTTTCTTTCCTCAAATAAATGAATTGGCTACTTGTTGTTATAAAAAATAAAATTGTATATACACGACTGGGGAAAAAAAAACGATATTTTACATGGATAAAAATAAAATGAAAAATATCCTGATCAAAATTTGGTCATAATGAATTTCATCTTAAATTTATTTTTAGATGATTGAAACATAGAAATTACATACATACCACATGATTCTTTTGTATTTACATATATAATAACACCTATACTTTCATATTCACATAGATAACACTCTAAACTTTAATATCACATCAAAATGCCACACACTACTGACTTCTTAAAAGTGAACCTTTTCAAGCAAAGTTTCATGGCACCGAATCATTACAAATGTAAATATCAAACTTTAGATGGTGTGGTATGCATGCAAATTCCCCTAAAAATTAATTATTTATATATTGCAAGCATCTAAAATAAAATTTTAAAATTTTAAAATCCATCAAGACCAAATCTTCATCAAAATATTCAGAACCATTTTAATTGGGCGAGGCAAAGAGAGAATATTACTCAATTGGTAGACGTTGAGCAGTGGGGCTCAGACTTGATCACCCGTGTGTTGTATGAGCCGCAGGAGCCGCACTTGTGGTAAAGCCAGTGGAATGAAGATGTTCCTTTCCTATCACAGTCGTTGCACAGTATATCCTGGAGAGATTTAATACATTAAACCACAATTCCTATGCATCTACATAGCTAACACATAAACGAATTTTTCAATACATAACACCTTACAAATGCTCTAAATAGGACGCAATGGAGAAAAATGATTCATGTAGCCGACCCCACGTAGTGGGATTAAGGCTTTGTTGTTGTTGTTGTTATTTTTTGGGGCATTTAGGTACACATGCCAAAGAATTCTTATATATTTACAAATATGCCACCTAAACTTACATATTTACATGCATAATAAGAGAATCTTTAACATCACATAAAAAGAAAATACCACTGTCATTAACTTTTTCAAAAGAAGGGATTTACAGCTTTTTCATGCATACATTTTTAATACAAATGTGTTATAAATGTAAATATCAAACATTTAAGTGGTAGAAATGTAAATGCATAAGAATTGTGTTGTACGTATGAAATTTTCCTTATTTTTATCTTGGAATAAAAATGAAAATTAATATAGTATTACCTGGCACTTGTCTCTATATTCTTCAGGAAGCTGTTCAGTAGCAAGTAATGCGTCAAGCATGCCAAAATATACCTAGGCAAAGGTTTAAATGAAAGAAAGTTTAGATAAGATAGTGCCACTCAGTGTTAAAATCATGAAATAATATCTTTACTTATTCATTATTGTGGTAGTACTGACAAGATTATATAAAAGCAAATGAAGAGAATAAAAAAAAAAACAATAAAAGAGAATACCATCAATAATAAAAATATATTATATTAATAAATACCATAGATTCTTAGAATAAATATTAAATATATGTTATCAGATTGATATAATAACATCTCTAAATAAAATAAGTGCTCCTTCGTTTAGAAGAATCCGCATTAGAAAGCAGGTCTTCAATGCTGAAAATTAGAATCATTATGCTGAAAATATTTAGATCTTATTTGAAATCATTTTTATTTTTAATTCATTTTTTTATTTTTAAAAGCATGATTTTAGGGAATGTCTTTTAGTGTTAATTCTTTTTTTTTAACAAATCAACTTGTCTTCCAAAAACAGTCAATGTTTAGATATTTGAGTATTTTAAAAATAACTACTATCATAAAATATATTTTATTTCAAATCAAAATATAAACAAATAAATAAATAAATAAAATAAATTAAAAAAAAAACTATAGAGATCCCAAATTGCCTATTTGTTTAGCCAATAAGATTATCGCTGCCTTAAAGGCTTAAACTGTAAACATACTATTATTGTAGCATAAGATTGCAAAAACCAGTGTGTAAGAAACAGATTTCCCAGTCAAAATGTTCAACTAGAAAAGGCAAGAAAAAAAAAAAAAAAAATTGTGAAGTATAACTTTTAGAGGAATAAATGAAGGTAAAAAAGATTGTTAGATTAACACAGGACAGAAAAAGAAACAAAATATGATATGTATGATATATCATAATGGTGGGATATATATTGATCCCCACAAAATTCTTATGTATTTAGATATCCAAGACCTAAACTTCACTATTTATTTACGTAACACTTTAGTGTCACAATCACACCAAAACATATGAATGGCAAGATGTATTCAATTGTATGTGATTTCAAAGATGAGTGTAATATAAGTAAATATCAAAATTTAAGTTTCAGATTTGTAAACATATAATGATTGTGGCATGCATGTGAATGCCTCTTCATGTTAATTTGTGATACAAATCCAAAGAGAACAAGGAAGAGTGGCTGTAAAATTTTAAGGTTAAAAAGGAAGCAGATAAAAAAATGAAAATGAGTATGCAAAGGTTGTTGAAATATACTCTAAGATCTCAACGGAAGTTTCAAAATAGTTTTCAGGAAACAAAATAAGTGACACTACAAAGCATGAAAGTCATCTAACAAAGTAACAAGTCAATCAACAAAAAAGCCTTTCACAAAAATAAATAAATAAATAAATAAATAAAAATAAAAACAAAATAAAAGAAGATTATCATTGGACTTTTACATGCAAATGAAATTCTTATAATAATGCATGCATATAAAATTATATCAAAAAGCTAAATAGAAATTTATTAGGAAAATAATTAAAAATTAGGAAGATTTACATACGTACCACTCAATTTTTATGTATTTAGATATCTAAAACTCGAACTTCATGTTTTTTACATTTATACCACCCAAATCTTTCATATAACATAAAAATCACCACCATTTTAACTTTCTAAAAATGAAATACACCTTTTCATGCATAGGTAAGGTGGCATGTACGTTAAAATTGAACATTAGGTGTTAGAAATGTTAATATATTAAGAATTGAGTGGTGTGTATGTAGATGCCTCAAAAAAGTACAGTATCTTACAGCCATGTCTCCCAGAGACTTGCTACACACTGGGCACGTGTAGTGACTGCTAGTGTATGCCTGTACATAAAGAGTTAAGATGAACAATTATTAACTTGTTAATTATCTTAAACTTCCGTAAATGCAAAACCGCAACAGAAGAAATGGAAGATGAGAGCTTCCAAATTGAAAAAACAACAAAAAATAACAAAGCAGCACCATGGCTTTAGCAGGAAGAAACAGGATTTGCCCAAAAGAATACCTGAAAGCATGCTGAGTGCATGAAATGGCCACAAGGTAGAGCTCTTACTGCAGCACTAGATGTAAAAAGAAATTCACAACAAATGGGGCAATTAGTCTCCAGCCCTTTCTCTCTGCATTTGTGCTCAACTAATTTCATTGCAAGGCAACAGTTGCAGGTCATGCAATGGAAGAAGTCCACACCAAGTCCTTTACCAACACGACACAAATTGCAAAATGGGCAGTGATACACCGTCCTGTAAAAAAAGTAAAAATTCATTAAAGAGTAACTATTTAAACCCGTTATTTAGTGCTTAAGAATTTAACATAAACTCCATAAAAAAAAATAAAAATAAAAAAAATAAAAACAGGTTGAAGTGTGATTTCATGTGGCACTTCTGTGATGTTTTTGATGGGGAAAGACAGGATGTGCTAAAATAAAATTAATGACCCAAGTGAGAAAGCTAAATAGCGATGCAAGTAGTACGAAGCAGATGCTGGCCGATTAGGTATCAGAAGGGAGCGTTTCTTTTAACCTAGAGGTTGACAAGCTGAAGATATTGGTGATTAAAAAGTGCTAAGTTGAAAGATATCATAAAACATAGAAACAAAACATCTAAGAGTAATTCAGGCACAGAGAACGGATAAACTTAACTAGCACGTGTCAAATCCAAATCCAGGTGTAAAGGTGTAGAGTTGTAAAATTCATAATATGAAGCTTTGTGCATGGAGTATAAAGGAGTAGAGTTTTGAACATGGAGAACACTGAATCCAAATACACGTGAAGCAGAACTAAATGTGTCCTGGGAGAGATCGGCATAGAAATTTCAGGTCATAACGAAAACGCTTAAAATGTTGAGATAAGGCTGATAATGATGAAAATGATTAAAAACACTGAACAATATTTTAGCGCACTAGAAATCAGATGTGTCAACCAAATTAAAGTCAAATGTTCGCAACAAGTAACTGCATAATTAATTCATCACGGTCATCATCATCATCATTAACCAATAACTGAAAAAAGTGGTGAAAAAGAGTAAGAATCTAACAGTAAAGTCTTACATCATTAACCAATAACTGAAAAAAGTGGTAAAAAAGAGTAAGAATCTAACAGTAAAGTCTTAACACCAACAAAGATATCGAAAAATTTAGAAGAAAAAAAAAATATCAAGAAATTATTGTCACATCGAAAGAGCATTCTTTTATGCAATATGAAAGTTAATTATATAACAAGGCTCTTATAGAAAAAACAGAGTAGAAAAACAAGAACGGGCTACTCTGAAACAATTATGAGTAAGTTATATTTGTAATTTTCATTTGCTAAGAAAGACTATTGGATTTAGAAGATGTGGAGAGTTGTAGTGGAATCTTAGACTTCGTGAAAATAGACTAGTCGGATCTTAAGCAGCTAAGTAAAGGTTCAGCA